AAGGATGTCAGAAAAGACTGAGAGTCAAACACCATAGGTCTGTGTTTTTATGGGATGACAGCAGGTTATCATTTTAAAAGCTGGTTTGTTTATTAACACATATCAGAAACAGAAAAGAGCAAAGATGTGATGAACCTGACATCTGTCCTGTGCGATCTAAATGAATCTGATGTTTCATCTTCTTTCTTGTAGTGTCTGAGCTTCAGGAAGAGGGGATAAATGCCATCAACCTTCCTCTCAGCCCTTCTCACTATGAGCTGGACCCTGAAGACACAATGCTAGGTAAACAGCTACACTTGGTACACACACACACACACACACACACACACACACACACACACACCCACTTAGTTGTTTGGGATTAAAGTTATAAATGGGACACATACTTTGACCTGTACAGAGAGATGGTGTTCTCGAAGGTGTTTGTTTATGGTCTATCCAAACTAATCCTGCGCTGCAGATTTAAATTTCTGTTTTGGTTAATTGGCTTTAGTTGATTTAAACCTCCTTCCCTCTGTCATTTGTCCACTGCATGTGTGCATGTGGTGCCTGTTGTGGAGTCTGACAGGCAGTCAGGGAAGAGAGGTGCACATGCATTGCATTTTTTCTTCAACACCAGTAATAGGTAAATGTGCATGGTATGATAACCATCAATTTTCACAGTTGTTTTTCTGTTGATTAATCTATCAGCTATTTTATCAACTAGTCAATTAATCTAAAGTTTCTACAATCTACACTTTATGACAAAAGGGTACATGTCCCAACAAACAAAACATGAACCATAGACTGTATAAAAGAAAGCATGAACACAAACACACACTGGCACAGTCAATCAATGCAAGTTAAGCTTCAACATTTTTTCAAACACAGCACCTACAAAAACAGAAGTTATTAAATTAGCCTACTATTAGTGGGGTGAGCTTGTTAAAATGACATGATTAGACAACGCTTGCAAGCGTTTTGCCTTTTCTGACTCTACATTATCCAAAATAGCACCTGTGTGTTTTCTCTTTAGGTGCTTGTGCAGAGCGATAGTGCTGCTGTGGTATGCCAATGAAACTTTGCACAGTGTACAAACCATGTTTTTGCTTTTTGTAGTTTAAGGTCTTTGGAAACTTTTACACTATATAGTGATAGTGAAGGGAAAAACATGTTTTAATGAAAGATTGAATCATTATAAAACTTAAAGTTCATAAAGATATAAAACAATGTTTCAGATATAAATATCGATGTTTATGCATTTTGACAAACATAGTGCCAAATCTTTTTGTTGTGCAAACACACATTGGGCGTTGTGTTCTATGTGTGCTGGGACCATAGACCGTATGATGGATGACATGTCACCGCTTCATGGCCATGATTCAAAGGTGAAGGTAAAATTTTGCAATCAGATTCTGCGCTGTAGCAACCAGAGATGGAGCCGCAGTGTCAGGCCACCAATCAAAGTTGTCAAATCAAAATACCAAATTACACCCTTTTTTTATCATCACATAACTTATTAAAAACAAATCTATCAGAAAAATAACCACTTGCACACACATCAGCATGATATCTACCTCAGGAGATATGTTTTTTGATTTGTACTTTGAGTTTTTAAATTTGGCTCATGTCCCATCTGCTAACATGAAAGGGGTGGGGTTTCTGATCTCTACTCCAAGCAGGCACCAGGGGACGATCGGTTTGTGGCGGCGTCACTTCTGGGAGGATCGTTTTTTATATACAGTCTGTGGCTGGGACATAGACCAGTGTAAGACTGTGTTAGACTATTGAGATTGTAAAGGGCTAATCCAAATTGTACCTACTGTACAAATGGTTCTTGACATTGATAATACAATATGTGTAAAGTTAGGTCTGTTACACCCCTGTAATAATACTGCAAGTGTAATCAAATTGCTTACAGTACAGAAAATGACTGTAATGCACCAATTATGTGGTGAGCATGTCACCACTTCTTTAATATTGATCAGTCTTACCATACCACTGTGTGACTTGTGGGGGGGGGAAAGGCTTTCTCAGAAGACTGTTTATCTGACATGCTGTTTTTGTAGGAGCTGTGATGTTATTCTTCCAGATTTAAATAAAAAGCTGTTTCTCCTCAGCATTTGTCCTGTTTATGCTTATCCTTTAGAGGAGAATGAAGTTCGCACCATGGTCGACCCCAACTCGAAGAATGACCGCAAACTGCAGGAGCTCATGAAGGTCAGGTTTGTTTTTGAACTGACCATTGGGGTGTGGGATATACAGCCGGTAAAATAAGTATTGAACACATTACCATTTTTCTCGGTAAATATACAGTATTTCTAAAGGTGCTGTTGACGTGAAATTTTCTGGAGATGTCGGTAATAGCCCAAGTAATCCATACATACAAAGAAAGCAAAACAATTAAGTTCAGAAATTAAGTTATGTGTAATAAAATGGTATGACACAGGGAAAAAGTACATGAAGGGAGGTGCAAAAAGGCATGGAAAGCCAAGACACCAGCTGAAATGTATCAGTAATTAGAAAGCAATCCTGCCCCTTGTCAGTAGAAATTAATATCAGCTGGTTCAGTCCCAACTGATGGCTTATAAAAAGATGTCTCATTACCAAGGTGTTACACAAAACACATCTCATGATGGGTAAAAGCAGAGAGCACTCTCAAGACCTTTGCAACCTTATTGTTGCAAATACTGATGGCATTGGTTACAGAAGGATTTCTAAACTTCTGAATGTTCCAGTGAGCACTGTTGGGGCCATAATCTGGAAGTGGAAAGAACATCATTTCACCATAAACTGGCCATAACCAGGTGCTCCTCACAAGATTTCTCACAGAGGAGTGAAAAGAATTATCAGAAGAGTTGTCCAAGAGCCAAGGACCACTTGTGGAGAGCTTCAGAAAGACCTGGAATTAGCAGGTACAATTGTTTCAAAGAAAACAATAAGTAATGAACTCAGCCGCCATGGCCTGTATGCACGCTCACCATGCAAGACTCCATTGCTTAAGAAAAAGCATGCTGAAGCTTGTTTAAAGTTTGCTGCACAACATTTAGATAAGCCTGTGAAATACTGGGAGAATATAGTCTGGTCAGATGAGACCAAAATTGAACTCTTTGGATGCCATAATACACACCATGTTTGGAGGTCAAATGGCACTGCACATCACCCCAAAAACACCATACCAACAGTGAAGTTTGGAGGTGGAAACATGGTGTGGGGCTGTTTTCCAGCATACGGCACTGGCAAACTTCATATAATTGAAGAAAGGATGAATCGACAAATGTACCCAGACATTCTTGATAAAAGAAATATACTGCCATCTACCAGGATGATGAAGATGAAACAAGGGTGGACATTTCAGCAAGACAATGATCCCAAACACACAGCCAAGGAAACTCTCAATTGGTTTCAGAGAAAGAAAACAAAGTTGCTAGAATGGCCCAGCCAATCACCTGTCTTGAATCCAATAGAAAATCTATGGAAGGAACTAAAGGTCAGAGTTCATAAAAGAGGCCCACGGAAGATTTGAAGACTGTTTGTGTGGAAGAATGCGCCAAACTCACACCTGAGCAATGCATGTGACTAGTTTCTCCATACAGAACACGTCTTGAAGCTGTCATTACCAACAAAGGCTTTTCAAAGTTCAAAGTGTTTATTTGTCATATGCACAGTTAGGAAACGTGTTTCCCTGTACAATGAAATTCTTACTTTGTCGTCCGCATGAATGCCACAAATTACAAATGAAATATAAAGTAGATAAATAAGTAACACAAAATCTAAGGCACTTTAAGCAGCAAATGCAGCAATATAATAAAATATATAAGAATATAACAGAATGTATGTTGCATGGGAGCAGCATGTGCAGCAGTCAACAGTCAATGTGCAAACTGAGAATGTAAACAGTACAGGTCGACAGTACATGACGTATTTCCTGGTAATAAACTCCTCAGCTGTTTAGGAGTCTGATGGCAGAGGGAAAGAAAGAGTTTTTCAGTCTAGTGGTCCTGCATTTCACACTTCTGAACCTCCGGCCAGAGGGCAAAGAATTGAGCAGTCCGTGCTGGGGGTGGGTGGGGTCTTTGAGGATGGAGGCAGCTTTCCTGTGCACCCTGTGGTGGTAAATGCTCTGCAGAGAGGGCAGTGGAGTCCTGGTGATCTTCTCCGCAGTCTTTACCACTCTCTGCAGGTGCTTGC